GCATCCACACGCGCTTGGTACCTCGAGTACAAATGTGTTACATTGCATATGTCACTTTGTTCATGCCACATTCTAGAAACTGGTGGAATAGGATGATCTGGAGACAAATGAACCTACAAACAAGAATTCATTCAAATAAGCATTGCATATAAAATTAAACTATGTAGCGTAAACAAATAAATTCATACCTGGACATAGTGATCATCGTCAACAAAACCAATAGCAATCTCACGTAGCTTGGTTTCGCTTGATTGAACTGAGAAAGGAAGAAATGTAAGGCATTGACGCATGCTTAGAAGAATTAAAACCACATCATAACATGTGGCAATAATATGCCCCATATCAGGCATGGTCATCCAAGAAAAGAATGGTGCAAATCCATCATCAAAATAATTTAGCGCTCGCTCAATCTCGTAGTACCGTTTATGTTCCCGAATACACTTCTTAAAAATAGAAGACATATCTTGTAGTTGCTGCAACAAATCCTTGCGTACCCTACGCCATTCATTATGACCAAATCTCATTGCCATAGCTATGGTTCTATATCCACAGTTACCATCCGGAAGAACTTCAGTCTGGTGAGTGATATATTTCCTAATACCCTCAGGGAATTTCTCTATATGCATATATGTATCGAACGATGTATCAAAAGCATTGCCCAAACCTTTTGTTCTCCCAAAATCCTTCAGCATGTAAATATGAATTATTAATAGGAAAAAAAAAACTTAACGAATTTAACAATAACAATATATCTACTAACCTTTTCCAGTTTTTTCTCATTAGACTTCATTTGTATATTCTTTGCTTTTCTTTTTTGAATAACTTTCTCAACTTTTGACTGTAACCGTTTTGATGGGGGACGACCTTTACCTCGGACAACTCGTGGACTAAGAATTTTGCAACCCCCATTTGAAGTATCCTCAAACTTGTCAACTTGTGTAGCCCCATCAATCACATTGGTCTCATGTTGATTACTTTCACTGACAACTTCATTCGATGTTAGCTTCAATTTCAAATCATTTACCAACCCCATCACCATATTACATTTTTCATCACTCTTTGTTGCCATGTCTGCTACCTCATAAAATAAGTTACACATCTTCTCAAAGCGATGTGCTTCAGGTTTGGAACTCCAATCAGCATAACTCACTTTCACTTTTGTATGACATCTTTTTACATCCTTTCTCCATCGCCTGAAAATATACTTTTCAGAAATACGAAAAATTTGCTTTTCAATCAGTACCAAAATTATATGCCGACATAATATTCCCCTAAACTCAAATAGTCGACAATTGCATTTCACCTCATTTGCTTCCTCATTCAAGATTACCTTGAAAATAACACGTTTACTACATTCCCAAACTTTGACATCTTCATATACTAGAAATTCTGCAAGGGCAATATTTTCCTTAACTGATGATAATCCACAATATATTTTACCTGCGAACTCATCCATGAACTCTTTGAATTTGTCAATCGTAAAAGCATCTTGGAATTGCTTTTCAAATTCATAGCGATTCTTGCAAGGAACCCGTGAATTAAAACAAGCAAAATCTGCTAGCTTCTCCTTTTCCACCTTATTATGCAAAGCATTCTCATATTGTTCAACAAATTGCTTCAAAGTTGTCTTTGAATTAACATACCCATCAAAGAATGCATGCATGCTCTCACTACGCTGTGTAGTAGACATTCCTGCCCAAAACGAATCCTTCACAAAAGCTGGAACCCATCGTTGTCTCTCATTATACAATCCATCTAACCATTCATTTTGTTGAAGGTTATATGTTTTAGTGAATCTATTCCAACTTTCTTCGAATTCCTCACATGTTAACGAATCATAAACGATACTTTTGAAGGAAGACTTGATAGGCTCGTATTGTGTGTAGCTTTTGAACTTCTCAGGTATGTTTTTCATTATATGCCATAAGCACCACCTATGTCGTGTATTAGGGAAAACAATCTCGATTGCATTTTGCATAGCTCTATCTTGATCTGTTATTATTCCATTGGGAGCACATCCAGACATACTTGTAAGCCAAGATTGAAATAACCATGTAAATGTTGGAGTATCCTCATTAGAGATTAATGCACATCCTAGCAATGTCGAATGCCCATGATGATTCACCCCTACAAAAGGTGCAAATGGCATGTCATACTTATTTGTTAAATATGTAGTGTCAAATGTCACAACATCACCAAACTCCCTATATGCAGCTCTACTTCTTGCATCTACCCAGAACACATTCTTTAATCGACCATCTTGGTCCAAATCCATAATATAAAAGAAATTTGAGTCACTACTTTGCATCTTCATGAAATATTGTTGGATTGCAGTAGCATCACCCTCTCCAAGCCGTAATTGCCTCATTTTTTGAATATAATTTCTACAATCTTTCTCCAGAAAGGGTAATTTGTCATAGCCACCTGCCTCAAAAACAAAAGAATTATAATTTTTATTCGGTCTTATCCCAGCTCGATCATTCACTTCTATCTTTCTTTTCATATATGGCTTGATTGTTCTGCTACTTCTAAAAAACCGAGTTTTACTTGGAGTACTGAGCTCATGATTATGCTCAAGCACAAAAGAGCACACCTTCCACTTTCCATCAAGGCATATACATGCTCTAACTCTAGCCTGACAATCTGTTTTTGTTATTGGATGCAACTTAAGGGAGTTCCTTGAATTACACTTTGACTTTCCGGAACGTGAACATGCCAAAGTCAAATATTTCAGTTCCCCACCATCTCCCTTACTTGAGGTTCTTATAGTAACTTCAAACCCCTTTTCTTTCCCGTAATTTTTGTAATATTCAACTAGCTCTTCCAATGAATCAAATATTGCTCCAACCTCTGGGTCCTTCACTTTATTTTTCATATTTGTTGGATCTTCCATTTCATTCACAGCACTTGAATACTCTTTCAAATTAGCTGCATCTTCCATTTCATTGAGTTCATTTGAGTTCTCTTCCAAAAATTTTGTATCTTCTATTTCGTTGAGCTCACTTGAATTATCTTCTAAAGATGTTATATCTTCCATTCTATTCATATTTTTTTCCAAATAACTCAAATTAGAACCCTTACAAACTAAATGTACAAAAAAAGAAAAGAAAAGAAAAGAAAAAAGAATAACTCATATAAAAAACAAACATTAAGATTACGCATTTGTAAATAAAGAGTGGAAAAAAAAAAACATTAACTCGCCAACAATATTTCACTAGCATGGACCTGTAGCATAGCACAGGACATATTATCAAATCATCAAGATTTAGGAGTATTTATGTCATTATGAATAAGCTTATGCAATCATTCGTAAGGGTCCAACAAGAAAAACCATGCCATTGCTGGTCCAACAAGAAAAACGCATGTGATTGCTGCAACTAATTAAGCTTAATGCTATGGTAGAACGTATCTGCATATATTCATGTCTATTTGTATATGAATCACTGTCTATTATATGCTCAAGTACGTACCTATCGACGACGTTATCGTGGTTGTGTAGAATGGTGCGATTACAGCTTCGATTCTTCAATAGGACTGCTAAATTTCTACGGTTTTTCAGAGAGGAAGAAGGAGGTTTAACGCTGAACCACAAAGGCTCGGTGCTTTGAATTTGAGAAGTTTCAACTGGTGGCGGCCAACTGTTGAAATTCTAGGGTTTTTCACAGAGGAGGAGGGGGGGTTTGCGAAGGAGGAAGACGGAAGGACGATAAATATTAAATGGCTGGGTTTATTTTTTTAATTTATTTTATTTCTATTTTTATTTTTGCTGTGTGAAATTCTTTTATTTATATAACAAATTATGTGACTTAAAATAGATGAGATGGCAGATGACATGTGTTGCCATATCATGTGCCACATGTGTTGGTATCCAAGCACATGTCTCGCATGAGATCATGAAGACGACAAGATTTAATCTTTCTAACAAAACCTTAGTTTTCAATTTCAACCATGCACCTTTCCACCAATTCAGTTAAGTAATTAAAAGCTATTTCTTCCATCGTTTCGACAAAATCTTGTCTTTGTTGCTCCATCGATATAAAACCTTCTGCCACCCACAGTTGAGTCAACACATTCGTTGGTATCTCATAATCTTCAGAAAACTGACCCAAATTAGAAAACATGGTTTTAAATAATATGGCAAACAATAACCATGATGTACCCATGCCTCCTTGTCGTGGCCTTTGCCACTTTTTAGGTATGTATAAATACTCTTAAGTATGATCTCCCACTCATCAATAATGTCATTTCTAGCAAGTAGTCATGCCAACACAGTGACAGCTAATAGCAAGCCAGCACAATATTGAAGCATCTTCTTTCCTATATCTTTCATATTTGTGGAAAATTTGGATGCTGAAAAATAATCAAACACCAAATTTATTGTCATTTGTTTAAAATCATAAATGTTATTTGTTTGAATGATTTTTACACTACAATGTAACTTTTTTGTTTCAATAATGCTACGGGCACCAACTTATTTACCAACTTTTGGATACCAACACATGTGGCACATGATATGGCAATACATGTCATCTGCCATCTCATCTATTTTAAGTCACATAATTTGTTATATAAATAAAAGAATTTCACACAGCAAAAATAAAAATAGAAATAAAATAAATTAAAAAAATAAACCCAGCCATTTAATATTTATCGTCCTTCCGTCTTCCTCCTTCGCAAACCCCCCCTCCTCCTCTGTGAAAAACCCTAGAATTTCAACAGTTGGCCGCCACCAGTTGAAACTTCTCAAATTCAAAGCACTGAGCCTTTGTGGTTCAACGTTAAACCTCCTTCTTCCTCTCTAAAAACCGTAGAAATTTAGCAGTCCTTCCATTGAAGAATCGAAGCTGTCATCGCACCATTCTACACAACCACGATAACGGAGCCTTTGTGGTTTAGCGTTAAACCACCTTCTTCCTCTCTGAAAAACCGTAGAAATTTAGCAGAAGAATCGAAGCTGTCATCGCACCATTCTACACAACCACGATAACGTCGTCGATAGGTACGTGCTTGAGCAATTTTTTATCACTTGGGTTTTAGTGTTCTAATACTCATATTTTATGATAAATAAAAAACAAAACAAAAGTTTGGCATAAATCGCTCCACCAATCCCAACACAAGCCTTGCGATCATCACAATAACGAAAAACTCCCTTTTGAAAGAACAATCAGTGATTCATATACAAATAGACATGAATATATGCAGATACGTTCTACAATAGCATTAAGCTTAATTAGTTGCAGCAATCACATGCGTTTTTCTTGTTGGACCAGCAATGGCATGGTTTTTCTTGTTGGACCCTTACGAATGATTGCATAAGCTTATTCATAATAACATAAATACTCCTAAATCTTGATGACTTGATAATATGTCCTTTGCTATGCTACAGGTCCATGCTAGTGAAATATTATTGGCGAGTTAATGTGCCATCTCATCCAAGGGGTGAAAGGTAACCTAAGAAAGCGGGCATGGACCATCTTCCCCATGCTGGAAGAAATCAGAGATATTAGCAGGAGATTCCTTGATGCTGAATGGAAGTGGGTGTACAGGAGTGCTAATCGTGCTGCTCACTTAGCGGCGTCGATAAGATATAGAGCTGTCGAACTAAATAGTTTGGCCAATAGGCTATCGCAGGCTCTTATGCATGTTTTGGTTTCAGACTGCTTACCATGTTCTCCATAGTTGTTTTTCTTTTGGAGCAGTCTTAGTGGGTAAAGATTTAAAGCCATATATGATATATACTTATCAGACGAAGAGATTGCAATTTTTTGAGAATAATGATAATGTACATGTTGGGGATGGGATTACTGTACAAATATGAAGTCTACTTCTTATGGCATCCAGATGTGTCAATATGACCTCTCATTTGTACATCAGAAAGTGGAGGAAAAGAAAAAGCACAATGAAAATTCATAAGGAAATTTAGAATACGATTCATATTAAATCATTCAATATGCAATGAATCATTCAATATGCTTCATTCACGTGTATCACGTTTGCCAAAACACTTAATTGATAGGAACAAACATACTTAAACTTTGCCAATACAAACTTGATTAACAAAATGGAGTATTCACTCTGAAATTCTTAGTGAACTCATAATCACAGTACATGTCCTCTGGAATACTTCATCAACCAACACTTGAAAAAACTCCACCAGCATTATGAGCAGCCATACATTAGTTGTGCCATCTTTGGTGGAATGTATTACTTCTGTCATTTCCATGCAAATTTTGATTGTCCTGTATGTAATGCAATGAATTTAGTAAAAAAAAATTTACTTAATTTTATAATTTGATAAGAATGAATTTAAGGTTTATACCTGCTGTTCTATGACATTACCCTGTAGTCCCAAAGTTAGATCTTGAACTACACTATTTATGTTATGTAGACCTCTCCGTGTTGGAAAACTCTGACCCTAAATGAAGAGAAAAGGGTACATATTTTTTGGGCTAAGACAAAGTAAAACTTTTTATATAATGTGTAGAATAGTATTTACAATATTAGTTATTGTAACAAACAAATTAAAAAGTAGCTACCTGCATATAGTTTTCAGAAAATGGGAAAGAAGAACCAATTCCTCCATGAAATGCATTTGGTTCAACATTTTGATTGACTCCCCAAAATAATGCAGTATTTACCTTTCACAAAAAACAGTACCATACAAAATTGTTAGATAAATAACATTAGACATAAATAGTAGCTGTATATTTTTCTCAAATGTTACGTGTTTATACTCACATTAGGATGGGGCACCGTCGGAAGAACATTTAAGGTTCCATTGTTAAATGTAACATTTGGAAGTTCAGAAGCCTATAATTTATGAGCATATTAAAAAACAAAAGGCCTAAGTACGACAACAAACAACATTTGAAAAAAGATATATTCACAAACGAATCCTTCACAAAAGCTGGAACCCATCGTTGTCTCTCATTATACAATCCATCTAACCATTCATTTTGTTGAAGGTTATATGTTTTAGTGAATCTATTCCAACTTTCTTCGAATTCCTCACATGTTAACGAATCATAAACGATACTTTTGAAGGAAGACTTGATAGGCTCGTATTGTGTGTAGCTTTTGAACTTCTCAGGTATGTTTTTCATTATATGCCATAAGCACCACCTATGTCGTGTATTAGGGAAAACAATCTCGATTGCATTTTGCATAGCTCTATCTTGATCTGTTATTATTCCATTGGGAGCACATCCAGACATACTTGTAAGCCAAGATTGAAATAACCATGTAAATGTTGGAGTATCCTCATTAGAGATTAATGCACATCCTAGCAATGTCGAATGCCCATGATGATTCACCCCAACAAAAGTTGCAAATGGCATGTCATACTTATTTGTTAAATATGTAGTGTCAAATGTCACAACATCACCAAACTCCCTATATGCAGCTCTACTTCTTGCATCTACCCAGAACACATTCTTTAATCGACCATCTTGGTCCAAATCCATAATATAAAAGAAATTTGAGTCACTACTTTGCATCTTCATGAAATATTGTTGGATTGCAGTAGCATCACCCTCTCCAAGCCGTAATTGCCTCATTTTTTGAATATAATTTCTGCAATCTTTCTCCAGAAAGGGTAATTTGTCATAGCCACCTGCCTCAAAAACAAAAGAATTATAATTTTTATTCGGTCTTATCCCAGCTCGATCATTCACTTCTATCTTTCTTTTCATATATGGCTTGATTGTTCTGCTACTTCTAAAAAACCGAGTTTTACTTGGAGTACTGAGCTCATGATTATGCTCAAGCACAAAAGAGCACACCTTCCACTTTCCATCAAGGCATATACATGCTCTAACTCTAGCCTGACAATCTGTTTTTGTTATTGGATGCAACTTAAGGGAGTTCCTTGAATTACACTTTGACTTTCCGGAACGTGAACATGCCAAAGTCAAATATTTCAGTTCCCCACCATCTCCCTTACTTGAGGTTCTTATAGTAACTTCAAACCCCTTTTCTTTCCCGTAATTTTTGTAATATTCAACTAGCTCTTCCAATGAATCAAATATTGCTCCAACCTCTGGGTCCTTCACTTTATTTTTCATATTTGTTGGATCTTCCATTTCATTCACAGCACTTGAATACTCTTTCAAATTAGCTGCATCTTCCATTTCATTGAGTTCATTTGAGTTCTCTTCCAAAAATTTTGTATCTTCTATTTCGTTGAGCTCACTTGAATTATCTTCTAAAGATGTTATATCTTCCATTCTATTCATATTTTTTTCCAAATAACTCAAATTAGAACCCTTACAAACTAAATGTACAAAAAAAGAAAAGAAAAGAAAAGAAAAAAGAATAACTCATATAAAAAACAAACATTAAGATTACGCATTTGTAAATAAAGAGTGGAAAAAAAAAAACATTAACTCGCCAACAATATTTCACTAGCATGGACCTGTAGCATAGCACAGGACATATTATCAAATCATCAAGATTTAGGAGTATTTATGTCATTATGAATAAGCTTATGCAATCATTCGTAAGGGTCCAACAAGAAAAACCATGCCATTGCTGGTCCAACAAGAAAAACGCATGTGATTGCTGCAACTAATTAAGCTTAATGCTATGGTAGAACGTATCTGCATATATTCATGTCTATTTGTATATGAATCACTGTCTATTATATGCTCAAGTACGTACCTATCGACGACGTTATCGTGGTTGTGTAGAATGGTGCGATGACAGCTTCGATTCTTCAATGGAAGGACTGCTAAATTTCTACGGTTTTTCAGAGAGGAAGAAGGAGGTTTAACGTTGAACCACAAAGGCTCAGTGCTTTGAATTTGAGAAGTTTCAACTGGTGGCGGCCAACTGTTGAAATTCTAGGGTTTTTCACAGAGGAGGAGGGGGGGTTTGCGAAGGAGGAAGACGGAAGGACGATAAATATTAAATGGCTGGGTTTATTTTTTTAATTTATTTTATTTCTGTTTTTATTTTTGCTGTGTGAAATTCTTTTATTTATATAACAAATTATGTGACTTAAAATAGATGAGATGGCAGATGACATGTGTTGCCATATCATGTGCCACATGTGTTGGTATCCAAGCACATGTCTCGCATGAGATCATGAAGACGACAAGATTTAATCTTTCTAACAAAACCTTAGTTTTCAATTTCAACCATGCACCTTTCCACCAATTCAGTTAAGTAATTAAAAGCTATTTCTTCCATCGTTTCGACAAAATCTTGTCTTTGTTGCTCCATCGATATAAAACCTTCTGCCACCCACAGTTGAGTCAACACATTCGTTGGTATCTCATAATCTTCAGAAAACTGACCCAAATTAGAAAACATGGTTTTAAATAATATGGCAAACAATAACCATGATGTACCCATGCCTCCTTGTCGTGGCCTTTGCCACTTTTTAGGTATGTATAAATACTCTTAAGTATGATCTCCCACTCATCAATAATGTCATTTCTAGCAAGTAGTCATGCCAACACAGTGACAGCTAATAGCAAGCCAGCACAATATTGAAGCATCTTCTTTCCTATATCTTTCATATTTGTGGAAAATTTGGATGCTGAAAAATAATCAAACACCAAATTTATTGTCATTTGTTTAAAATCATAAATGTTATTTGTTTGAATGATTTTTACACTACAATGTAACTTTTTTGTTTTACTAAACGTATGCTAGATATATCAGCAACAACAACAGAAAAACACTTATGCTGGATAATTAAGAAAAACTAATATAATGACAATTATTGCACCAAGTTTAATACAGAAAAACTACTTTGAGATGGGCTCAACGGACAAGTTCGAGATTCATTTTGCATTTTCTAAACATGCAATTTATTGTGAATATGATAAATAAACATGTTGGTACCAAATTACAAAATTAAAATTAAAATCAGGCAGTTTATATTTCAATTTGGTGGCGTTAATTTGTTTCCAAAGTGAAAATGGCTATAGTTAAGAAAATATAAAGTTCTTACAAAAAAGTATCCCTGAGAAGAATTCCATATGTTATGTGATTTGTTAGATAATCATATAACATCAATCGTTCCCTAAAAAACAAAATGTCGGTCATGCTTGGAAAATACTAAGGTCCGAAATGCAGGTCAAATGGAGTATGAAAGTTTCTATTGTGTTCAATTGACACATATGAAACTAAAGCAAAGACAAAAGATTTGGATGAGACAATACCTATTCCATCTCTTCCAGAGATTGCTATCTTCTCAAAAAGTGTCCAGCTTTCATCGTCATTCAGTGGCCGAGGATGGTGGATGAAACCATTTCTATCTAAATGTAAAGCTACCTCTTTGTTGCGAGTGGTGAGTAATACTATGCTTCCTGATTCCTCACACAATGGAAAAGCATGTTTCAGTGACTCCCATGCCTCAATGGTCCAAATGTCATCCACAACTATCAAACATCTACTCTCTTGTAGTATAATATAAATTCATTTTGCTATTTCATCATCCCCTAGTTTTGCAATTTCTGTGTTTTTTTATCATTGTCAGCAGAAAGAAGTTTAATTAGAATTCCTTCCCAAACAGACCTCACTTGATATTGTTGAGCTATACATACCCAAATAAAAGAGCCAAAATGTTTTCTAACATCCATATGATGATATATTGTTTTGCAAGAGTCGTCTTGCCCAAACCACCCATACCCCATATAGAAACAACTCCGTGGCTGAATTCTTCCTTCACCAAATGCATGACCAATTCTTCTACACTATCCTCTAACTCAACAACATCCCTTTCAATAATATGAGAATAGATGCGTCTTAGTTGTTGCTGCCTCTCTTACAAAGAAGTGGCACCTCCGATTTCCCTAATATTATAACTCTGCAAGCTTGACCTTAAAGTAGAGAGATGGGCAGTAATCATCTGAATTTCCGACCCAATGTTGTGAAGATCGATTCCTTCTTTCACCACACAAACAAATCTTCTCCGAAAATTCTTAACCCCTCTTTGACGCTTGTTAGACACTTTCAAGAAAAAAAATTCTACCACATCCTCCAAATTGATCGGTTCATAATTGTATATCATTTTGTACCCTTCTAGCTTATGATTTGGTTATATTTTTGAGTTAAACTTGTACTTTTAATCCTTTTTGTGTTTATCTTTCAGCTTTAGGGAACAATGATGGCTTTGGATAGGAAATGATGCAATCCATGCATGTTAAAGCCTGATTTGGATAAAGGGAAGAAGAGCTTAAAGACAAACTCATTTTGGCTACA